TCTATCTATCTATCTATCTATCTCTATCTATCTATCTATCTATCTATCTATCTATCTCTCTCTCTCTCTCTCTCCAACAAACGAGGGGCTGGACGTCGAAGCCCGGCGATGGCAGACGGGGCGGACGCGGTCGCACGTGGGGAACGAGCAACGGCCACCGCACGGCGCGAAACCGCCTTCGTTTCTTTTCTTTTTTTTCTTTTTTTCCGTCTTTCGTTTCATGATATCTTTCGTCCGTACAAATTCGGGATTTCCGTACGTTGGCGCGGCGGGCAGGTACAAATGGCATTGAACCTATGTCCGCCAACTACTAGCGGCCTTGTCCCATACGGGCCCGCGAGGCCTTCAGCCTGTACTTCAGCCACGCTTAGAAGGCTGGAGCAAAGGGACCTTACAGCAGGATCAAGTGTTGACTCATCCATGGCTTCTAACCTGTTTACCTCCTGCCCCCTAGCCTCCAGTCCAGTCTTTTCTCCTTCTAGCTCTCTCTCTTCTATCCTCTACATCCTGTAGCTGGCGCTGTAACTCGTCATGAAGGGCATCCGCCTGTTGGATCTCACAGTCCTCTGCTGACATGCTTTGCTGCTGGCTGACCTGCGAGCCTGCAAACTGACTGGAATAAGGACCTGGCATACCACCTGACGAAGAGGCCTGAGAAGTGGCCTGAAAAGTGGAAGAGACAGTAGCCATTGCTGACGTTGCCTCAGCCCTAGTGTGTGCAACTGCTGCTGCTGCCAGTGCTCTCTCTGCTTCGGCGGCTGCTGCCTGTGCTCTCTGCAAATGCCTCCTCCCCTCAGCTTCTCTCCGCAGTCTCCTTTCCTCACCTGGTTCTAAGGACATATAAGTGATCGGCTGACTAAGTGCCTGTCTCCAGGTAGTCCTCCTACTTTCCTGGTCTAGTCTCTTAACCTCAGCGTCGTCTTCACTCATGAGCTACACATGGCATGCAATCTGCACTAGTGTCCTCGCTGGGACCTACCGCAGTGCAGCATCCAGCCGATGCTTAAAATAAAATAATTATTCAGTCCAGACTCCAGATATGTCAGGAAATAGTTGAGCGGTATCTGCAGATAAGTTCAGACCCCTAGAGACACTTCTACTCCTACTTTAGACTAGTCTCAAACAGAATGCAATGCAGCAAAGAATAACTCATTCTACCTACAGCAGTCTATCAGATGTGAGCAAGTCTGTCACAACTAACTAATAAAAAATAAAAATAATTTTAAATAAACTTTAATGAAGTCATTTGCTGAAATAAAAGGGCCTTTACAATTCAGACCCGTAAATGTGACCCCAGCAAAAGGGGCCCTCTCGGCCAGAACTCAATTTCACGAGCAAAATTCCGAAAGACAAGTTCCTGAGTTATATGTCGCATCCAGAATGAAGTGAAAAGTCGTTTTGAACAGTCACGGACAGGTCCTAGATGAACAGGTACTGAACACAGACTTCAAGGCTGAGACAGAGTCATGTCTGTTTGACGATAAGTCATGTCCGTTCGGCAATAAGTCAAAGGCCACAGTCCCACGGGTCAGTCCTGATTCAGACCAGGAGTCCAAAAGACAGGCCGATGTCCAAAAGCAGCAGTAGACCATGGGAAAAGATACTGGGACACACACTTTGCAACAACAGGTACTGGGCAGGAGTCCCAGACCCTGGAGGCCGAGTTCAGACCTCGCCAGACCAGTCCAGCGCTATAAAGGACTGGCCAGCCTCATCATTGGGGAGATGCTCATTTCGCATGAGAGTGTGGAAGTGCCGTGGCACTTGTGCGCCAGATGTGTGTGAGCTGCGCTAGGCTGAAGAACAGCGCTATGTGGGAGGGAAGAAGTGAGCGGGCTAGAGGGAAGGCAGCTATAGCTGCGCCAGCGCTAGTTAGTATATTAGTAGGGATAGTCAGTAGGAGACACCAGTGAGTAGCATTCAGAGTAGATCCTCGTGTGATAGGGAGTGTGCATGCATGATGAGTGTGAGTAGACCAGGACTGTAGACAGAGAGGGAGAGAAGAAAGACAAGGAGGTGAAGAGAGAGAAGAGAGCTATGGTGATACTTACCAGCTGAGCGCCGATCTTGGTGATTGTTGGCTTGCACTGATGAGCGCCTGGCCTAGAACACTTGTTGAATGAAGAAGACATGTATTTCTGTTGGGCGCTATACCTTTTGAACTTGTGATTCTCTCTGGTTGATCTGGTTGTGATAATAGAGATGAGCTACCTGGTTCCCACTCATCCTCCATTGTACTTTGTGTGAGTCTTTGCAATCTGTGTGACCGGCGTGACATGCATGTTATCTGGGACACTCCAGCAAGTGACGAACCATCAGGTTCCTTGCAGAAATGTATGCTGAATGGAAATTATGCATAAATTAACAATTGAACAGCCAACTGGAATCAACCCTCCCCCTCAATCCTTCTTGATGTCTCTTGTTGCCAACATCCTGTAAGCACACGGCCCACCCATGTGCCCCAGGTCAGTGCAAGACCGGCCAGCCCCGTCCGTACTATTTTAAATCTCGCGTACGGTGTGGGCAGAATGTCCCCACCGGAGGTTCTCTAATGACGGTCCCGTGCTCGTCAATCCCCAATAGGGCTGGCCTGCCCAACACAACCTCCACTGTGCAGCAAGGCGAACCAAAGGACTAAGCAGCAAAGCATGCGTACTCTACTCCCAGTGGGTTGGCATGAGGATCGTGACCCAGTGCTTCGTCCACGGCCCTTCAGATGGCAACACCCTCTCCCACCAGCATGCTCCCCACGAAAAACATCGGCTCTCAAGGTTGGGCGCACATGACACCTCATGATGAGAGGACTCTCAAGACAGAATTCACTTCCTCACGGTAAGAAGCCACGAAGAGGGTAGAGAAGATAAGGATCAATGTACCTCAAAGTGCTGCCCCCAACCACAGATTTCTCACCAGTTGACCTGACATGCATTTATGATGACCGGTCGTTGCCTCGGTACAACACAATGCAATGCAGTTCGACCTCAGCTTAAATGTCACATCAGCATGCTCTCATCATACATCAGACACCACAATGCCCCTGTGTGCGAAGCCCGGGGTGAGGTCCCATAGGTCCTATAAATTTCACTCACCTTTCCATCTGACCGCCGCTTCGAATTGTCCTGCTTCTTGGACATAATGTCTTCCTCGGGACCGCTTCCATCTTTCTCCACCTTGCGCTTGCGGAACTTGTGTCGTCCATGTTTGGCATCTTCTTGATCTTCCTTCTCCTTCAGCACTTTGGCCTTCAACGACAGCAACGATTAGAATGCACTGTCATTATCGCTGTATGAGCCTCTATCGAGACTGAAAGTTGCCCCACATTCAGCTATAATGACCGTGTGTTATATCCGGGTGAAGAGAGTAGTGCGTTCTCCATTATCCCACCAACACCTTTCCATTCATGTCCTTTCTCGACCTTACGCACATACAAGTGGTGTCTTCTCTCCATTCTCCCGGCAACATATATTTTTTTTCTTTCTTCTTTTCAGAAGGCCAACGGCCTTGGGACATCATCACTGAACTCACCGGCCCCAGGTAATTCAGAATGATTTCATTCTGCTCTTCTGGTGGTATCTGGATTTGAACTGGTGTCT